GGAGCTCCAGCCCCAGCCGGCAGTCATAAAGAACAGAGGACATATTTCAACACCATAACAATAGTAGCCGATAAACCACACCGCTCTTATATTGAGGTGACCCCACAAAAGGTCATACTGGACGACCGGGACCGGATGATCTTACCATCCAGCTCCAGCATTTCCGTTCAGACTGCAAACCTGGGTGTGGTCATTATTGCTAACACAAACCTGACAGTGACCATTCTAGGAACTATCCAGTTTGTCATCTTATTCCACCATTACAACAATCCAGCGCCCTATCAGCGGGATCACCTGGGGTTTTACATCGCTAACAGCAAAGGATTGAGCAAGGATACACATGGGTTGCTAGGTAAGCAGTAAGCACACGTACACAAATCTAGTTGTAATGTTGCGGGAACTTGAGAAAACAAGCAGAGGTGATCTACATGCAGGGAGTTTAATTAAAGGCGATTCCGGAAAGGCTGGCAATAGCAAGCTAGCTTTGAAAGCAAGATCCCACCCTCCCTGCAAATCACTCTCCAGAGTGTTCCAGAGACTCACACACACACTGTGCAGGGGGGGTTTTCAGGTTACAGAATAGATAGGAGAACATTATCACCGGAGACCTTGTGAGAGAGACACATTTCAATAGCAGAACAGAATTCAGTTTTCAATCTTTCTCATAAGAAGTGAATGCTGTGAAATTAAGACCATTTTACCAAACATTTAAAATGATGACAAAAATGAAAGGGAAAAACCAATAGATTCACAAGATACATCATATGTAGTATACTGACATTCTTAGTGAACTTTCAGTGACTTGAGCCTGGTGGAGGGGGAGAGGGGGACTCATAAATAAGAGAGGAGAGAAGTTTGGGCAAGGTGGTGTCCTTTGCTCTTTCTTGGAGATCTTCTCTCCAGATTAGTGAGTTTTATTGTTTTATTGCAGGGTGTTTGGTTGCGTGTCCTGTCTTAGCAGGAAAACCATCCTTACACTGATAGGTGGAGATGACTTTACAGAATCGTGGGGAATGTAGTTTTTCACCAGGAATTCCACTGTTAAAAAAAACCCCACTGAAACAACAGAAGCATATTATCATTGAATAACAACCTCGTAGCTCACAGTAGGTCTGTGGTTAATCAGTTCCCCCAGGGAGAAAATGAATGGTATTGTTCATTTCGAAATCTGACTGTCTTTAATGTGTAACGTTTGATGTTAGCATGTTGCTAAGCCAACATTGTAATGCTCTTGCCATAAAAACACAGTACACCAAATTTTAAGTAAAAAGTCCACCGTAAAGAGGTTCAACTTTTTTATTGATACTTTACAGTACTGAATGAAAACGTTAATTTATTTACAGGCCACATTTCTTTAACTTTGTCGGGCATCTTGGATTAACTTTTTCAGCAAGTTTGTCGCAGTACATTGTGGACTTGTTTTCTCCACAAACATGCACATGAAACGTAAAAATGCTACCTACGTAGGCAGCGCACTAGGCTTTGGAACAGATCTACAAAAGCAAAAACAATTTCTACATATTAAATGAGAGATACATTTTTGTATTTACAGGCCAGTTCCTGTATGAAGACATTGGATTGATGCAGCTTCCTGGAAATTTCAGCATGGCCAGAGAAAACGGCACACAGGAAACACTAGGGAAAAATATCAGTCTACCCAGCTGCCCTGCACTGAAGGTGAAGGATCGTACTGTCACTGTCATAAAGAAGAGCAGGCGAATCTACTCTGGAAAGCAGACAGTAGACTGCTGGTTTGCCAAAAACAATGCGGCTAAACTGATTGATGGACAATACAGTGATTATGTTGTGTCACATCTGTTTGACACAGGAGACTGGGCTAATGGAACCAACACACACTAAGACAAACACACACACGCATACACACACACACACACACACACAAACATTCAGAATATAATTCTACCGGACTGATGGTCATGACCCAGATATATTCACACAAACACTTTGAAAACCATCACAAAGACCCATAAGCAGTATTTTAAGTAAATGATTTATATCTGAACATAATACTTTACTGTTTTTTTTATCGTAGTCATTTACAAATATATATTATATATATTTTTTTGTTAATATAATGAGATGAATGAACTCATTTTGTACTAATAAATGTTAACAATAGGTAGTCAATTCTGTCTCCTTTTTGGTAAAGAACACAACAGTAAGGATAATGATAAAACTACCATGACCTCTGAGATTAAGCAATGAAATATGCTTGTAATTTTAATGTTTAGATAGACAGACAGACAGACAGACAGACAGACAGATGATAGACAGACAGACAGACAGACAGACAGATAGACAGATAGATAGATAGATAGA